TCCTGTTTGCAGACGTACTCTCCCAGCAGTCACACTCCTTTCCCACGTGACCTCCACCTCCTCTCCGCTCACATGACAGCTGCCTGCGGCTTCCCTGGCTTTATCTCGGAAGCGGGAATCCTCAACTATTACCGATCAGACTCTTCTCTGGGAATCCACGTGGACGAGTCGGAGCTGGACCGCACTCGACCGCTGCTGTCGTTTAGGTGGGACGCGTGTTTTTTCACAGTCGTTATGCGAAGGACATGTTTGAATTCCCTGTTTTTCCGTGTTGTCTTTACAGTTTTGGTCAGTCAGCCATCTTTCTCCTGGGCGGCCCCCGCAGACAGGACCCCCCCACAGCCATGCTCATGCACAGTGGGGACGTGATGGTGATGTCAGGACCCAGCCGCCTTCTGTACCACGCGGTCCCACGAATCCTCCCCGCACCTCCGGGGCGTCTGGCATTAGAGACGGGGGGCTGCATCCAGACCCCCCCACCACAGGAAGGCTCCGTGGTGGAGCCGGTGTCCGAGGAGGAATGGGCCGTCTGCTCCAGGTACATCCAGAGCTCCAGAGTGAATGTGACTGTCAGACAGGTGCTGGCACCTGGACAGAACTTTCCAGAAACTCCCCGTTCTCACCAAACCACAGACTCTGGACAGACGGACGGATACGATGATGGAGAGAGCGGAAAGAGGAAGAGGAGCAGCAGTGACTCTCCTTATGCTGCAGAGACTCACTGAGGGGACTCACAGCACGGGCCTCCATGAAGGACGCTTCTGCTTGGGTTTATTTGTTAAAGGATTTATGTGGGTCAGTGTGTAGATGCTGCCAGAGACGGGACGAGATCTAAACATGAACTCTTAGGAGTCGTCTGGATCCAGTTCAGTGTTAAAATGATTGTTTAACGATTGTGTGAATACAGTCTTTGGTATCTTAAACTGATCCAGTGAGCAGTAGTCATGAAGAAAGATGATCCAGTACCCAGATCGAGCTCTATGTATGTGTGCAATGTTCCCTCTAAGCTGCGCACTGCTGGCACAGAAAATCTGCGTTGCGCACAAAACAAATC